CAGTACACTTTTCTCTGTTTCTAACGAAATCTTTTCCATTTCTCATCGCCTTTCAAAATGATACTTTTGCTTGTCCACTGCTTGTTCCGATATCGCATAGCAATCCAACACACTTTTCTTTGTTTCTAACGAAATGTTTTCCATTTCTCATGGCCTTTCGAAATGCTTCTTTCTCTCGTCCAATAATTGTTCGGTTATCGCTTAGCAATCCAGCACTCTTTTCTTTGATAATAACGAAATGTTTTTCCATTTTGCAGCACCATTGGTAATGCTTCTTTCCATCATCCAATGTATGTTTCGATATCGCATAACAATCCAGCAGTCTTTTCTTTGTTTCTAATAAAGTCTTTTCCATTTCTCATCGCCTTTCGAAATGATTCTTTCTCTCGTTCAATGCCTGTTCGGATATCGCAAAGCAATCCAGCACTCTTTTATTTGTTCCTAACGAAATGTTTTCCATTTCTCACTGCCTTTCAAAATGCTTCTTTCGTTCGTCCAATGCCTGTTCGGATATCGCATAGCAATACGGCATTCCTTTCTTTGTTTCTAACGAAATGTTTTCCATTTCCCATCACCTTTCGAAATGCTACATTCGCTCATCCAACGCCTGTTCGGTTATCGCATAGCAATCTATCACTCTTTTCTTTGTTTCTAAGGAAATATTTTTCATTTCTGACCGCCTTTCAAAATGCTACTTGCGCTCTTCCAATGCGTGTTGGGATATCGCATAGCAATCCATCATTTTTTTCTTTGTTTCTAACGAAATGTTTTCCATTTCTTATCGCCTTTCGAAATGCTACATTCGCTCATCCAATGCCTGTTCGGTTATTGCACAGCAATCTATCACTCTTTTCTTTATTTCTAACGAAATGTTTACCACTTATCATCGCCTTTCGGAATGCTTCTTTCGCTCCTCCGATACGTTTTCGGATATCCCATAGCAATCCAGCATTCTTTTCTTTGTTTCTAACGAAATCTTTTCCATTTCTTATCGCCTTTCGAAATTCTTATTTCCCTTTTCCAATGCGTGTTTTACTATGTATATTGTATTTTTAGAAAATCTTGGTTGAAATATTTTTTTTTACATCTGTTACCCGCCTATAACTTATTTACATGATAATTTTCTAGAATTTCAAACATTTCGCAAATTCTTATATATTACTTACACGCATGACTCCTTGGAGAAATTAAATCATCATTTTTTTCACAACTAATGCCAACTATTTCGAAATTTGCTCCAAATCTTAATATAAAAACTGCAATAAACTATCTAATTATCAAATTAGATATGCTTTTATTTGCTTTTATATATAATATACATTAATGACATTATTATTTGAAGAAAAAATTTTTTTCGATGAATACATAATTTTTACAAGAACCGTTTGCTATTTTCTTTCAATTTTTTCTATTTCTTTAATTTTAAGAAATGTTTTATAATTCTCCCATGCAGAGTATGGGGTAGGTTAATATGTTTTTCAGTGAATACTTTATTTACTAAGCAAAAATTAAAAGATTAATACAAATAAAGCTTCCAAAACTTTTTTCCATAATTAATTTTTTTTTTTTTGCGCGTCTAAATGTTTTTTTTTTTTGTATGATATCTCATAAGTGACATTATGGTTAAAAGGTCACGTGTTTCAAGGCTAGTCTCCTCCTTTCGGAAAGCCCCTTGACATATAAAATTCTTATCTCACTCTCAGTTATTAGATTAAAAATTAACTTGCGATAATAAATTTATCTCATTTATCTATTTATACAATTTATAACTGAGTGAAATATTTTAATTATTAATATAATAATAATTTTATTAGTTATTATCTCAGTTATTAAATTAAAAATGTAATAACTTAATGCAATTTTAATAATTAATAAAATTATTCATCATTATCTTGGCCATTAAAGATAGTGGTAACTCAATAATGTAAAAAAAAAAATTATACTATTTTAAATTATTAAAAAACAAAAAAAATCATTATGTCAATTTTGATGCACCGTAGTAATCCTGTCAACTCATTCAGCCACAAATTATCGATGGAGGCGTGAAAATAACAAAGCCCCGAGGTCAAGAAATGTTTGTCTAGAAAGTTTTATTCTATACGTAAGTGATTTTTGTTTCAGAACAAATTAAATTAACTTTAAATTTGCTAATTTTACGAAAGTAACGTTTCAGAAATGTATATTTTATTTTAGCGGGATATTCAAAAAGGAAAAAAATAAGCTTTGCTTAAATTTCTCTAAAAAAGTTAAAAATGTCCGTTTCGATTTGTTTTTCTATTTGGAATACTCCGCGATTTTTTTTTCCGGAATTAAAAAATGTAATCCTTTAGCTTTCAATTGAAGCTGGGGAAAAACTTCGAAAAGGATTTTTACTTTATGAAAAATACATTTAAACATTAGGTATATCTTAAGTATACGAATCTTTGATGGTACCTAATCTTACGTTTCAAGGATGCTGGACAACCACAAAAATGTACAAACTAGACAGACCTTTATTCAGTAGTCAAGAATAAAGTTATTCTGAACTGGCAGATAACCTAATGATTATTAACCCGAACAATTAAATGGGTAAACAGAATTAGAGTTTGGATTTAGGATATTTGTTTACTTTGCAATATATTTTTATGGGAGGTGGGAAAAACACTTTTCCCTGAACTCTTATCTTCAGATTTTTCGACAAAAACATCTTCTCTAGCTTGCAACAGTATCTGACGAGAGTGTACTTGGAAAAAATACTTCCTCATCATTTTGAAACGTTGTGTCTATAATAATATCTATAGTAACCAAGGTGGGAACAATCGTTCGAATAAAGTAAAATACATTAAAATAAATTGTTTAAAGCAAATGATGTTCAACATACTAAAAATAATTTAAGACACAAATAATGTTTTAAATTATATTTAAAATAACAGAAAATTCTATTTCTACAATGTTAATGGAAGTGTTAAGAACATACAGAAAATTGTTATGCATATATTGAGAATAGATAGATAGATAGATAGATAGATAGATAGATAGATAGATAGATAGATAGATATGAAAATTATAAGTATATATATATATATATATATATATATATATATATATATATATATATATATATATGCGTGTGTGTATGTATGTATGTATGTACGTATGTATATCGTCGTATCATCGGCATAGACAGTTTACAAATGATCGGAGTATATTCTTAGCTAGATCATTTATGTAAATCAGATAGAAAGAGAGTTGGTCCGAGAAGTGACCAATGGGGGACGCCTGCATTGACCACCAGGGCCTCGAAGGACTGGCCGTTACTAACTACTTTCAGGGATCTACCTGTTAGGAAAGTTTTTATGATAGAGAAAACCATTCCAGTGATTCCATAGCTGAAGAACTTGTGTAGCAAACCTTTGTGCCACACTTTGTCGAAGGTCTTCGAGATATCTAATGCTATGGTCCTTGCTGTATGTGTGTCATCAAGGGCCCACTAATTCTGTGTGAAATGGAAATTATTAGGACATCAGCAGTGGATCGGGCTGATCGAAACCCATACTGCTCGTCGCACAAGAAGTTGTTTCTATCCGGGAGTTCGACGAACTTCTTGTTGATTAAGGCCTCAAAAAACTTACTGAGGAGACTAATGGGCCTATACAGGGGTCGGGAGGATTCAATCGGGCATACGAATGCCACCTTCCACATGCTTGGGAAAGATTTCTTCTTCAAGCAGCAGTAAAATAACTTTGCTAGAATCGGGGATAATGCTAGGTTGATATTCTAAAGGGCGACCACTGGAATTTTACCTAGGCCAGTGGCTTTTTTGGGGTCGAGGTTTTTGATAAGTCTAGAGACTTCTCTTGCTGAAATGGGTATATTACTGAGATTGTGCTCAATGGGATGTGGGAAGTTGGGGAGAAGATTGCCTTTGTCATCTAACGTTGAGTTTGAGGCAAAGATCGAGGCGAAGAGCCTCGCCTTGTCTGTCGAGGATGATATTACCTCCGGGCCATTTATAATTGTGGGCACAGCCGTTTTGCCTCTATTCATAATTTGGTTGGGGATCTTCTACAATTCGCAAGATCCAATTTTCAAAATATTTTCAACCTTGACCGGGTCAGATCGCGCGTAGCTGCACTTTGCGTTTTTATAGAACTCTCTTGCAGCAATTTCGGGCGGTTCTGAAAGAAGTAATGGTCAGACTAAATCGCTCCTTTTTATAGATTTTGAAGTAGTAGTTCTGGTGAGCTATGGTTGCATTCAGGAGTGAACCAGGGCTGATTGTTTTATTTTTGTTTGATTTTGAGGTCGGGGTATAAAACACTCCATTTCAGAAATGATCCATTCGGACATTAAGGCAGCAGTTTGGCGGGCAACATATTTGAAGATGGTTGGGAGATGAGCTTCCATCATGTAGGACCGAAAGCTGTCCTTCTGTCTCCGCATAGCGAAAAACCGTTCTATGGAACGGTAAATTAGCGGGTGTCATAGGGTTGGAGCCAGTGTGGACACTGACTAGGGAAGGATCTGACGTGTCAATGGGAGCTAAAACTTCTGCTGAACATTTATCAGAGCAGGATCCTAGAAAAAGGTCAAGGAGGTTCGCCTGCTGTCCTGTCTCATCCGGGACTCGAGTGAGTTCTTCAATGATCTGGATTAGTTCATATGCGATGGAGAAGTCTCTGCAATATCTGCCTTCCTCATCGGTTTTGTTTGAGAGGACTAACCACTATTTATGGTGAACATTCACGTCAACGCATATGTGAAAGTTGGCCGATGAATATTTGGTGAGGATAATGTCAATACTCTCTGATATTCGATCGAAGATTACCGACCCATATCCTGAGGATGATACAGGGCAAAGATGAATGTGGTACTATGGATAAGTGCCACGCGGAAACACATACGCGGAAGATCAATGTTCTTGTTTTGCGTCCCTGCCTCAGGGAAACCCTTCCCTGATGTAGGCACCGAGTAAGTGACTGTGGCCATTTAATTGTTCGTATTTTGTAATAATATGTGACATATATATATATATATATATATATATATATATATATATAGAGAGAGAGAGAGAGAGAGAGGGGGGATGGGGATGGATAGATAGATAGAAAGAATAAAAATAGATAGATAGATAGATAGATAGATAGATAGATAGATAGATAGATAGATAGATAGATAAAACACAATATCTATCTATGTGTATTGACAAAAAGTTATGTTTTCACAAGGAGCCCAAGTGGTTTGCTTCATAATTCCTTGGTGAGTGTATGATATATTTTAGTCTAACAAAAACTTACAAGCAAATTTAGAAACAATATAGCGGAAACCTTAAAACCCAGTTTTGCTTCCTATCCTGTTGCATGAAGCCCTCGTAATGAAAGAATAAAACTGTCGCCACTATCTTTATATGTGCGGTATTTTTTCCTGCGGTTAGTAGTTCATAATAGCGTCCTCTGCTGAAAAAAAGCCACAGCCGTAGTTTACACACTATTGCTTACGAGAGAAAATAAATAAAACAACTGTAGAAGCTGAGAAGGTCAGTTGGTTAGGGCAAAGTACGAATGCACGGATGTCGTGAATTCAAACCTCACACTGGTCAGAGGTTAACATGTATTTTTCTCTACTTAGAAATGGCATAATTTCGTTCATTATTACTTTTAAGAGGAAATAATTCAAAAACGAGAACGCAACCGAAGTGCGAAGTCCTATTAACTCTGTTGGTTGCAAATATCGCGAATGTGGTTGTCCCGAGCTTCAATAATTGCTTGACCTTTTCGTCTGCCTATAACGGGAAGGATTTTATGTATCATTACTTATAAGAGAATTCCGTGGGTCTACGTTACCATACTGGCCACGGAATAACTTGATTTATTCATCGACTTTACTTACTTACTAGATAGATAGATAGATAGATAGATAGATAGATAGATAGATAGATAGATAGATATGAACAAAGGCAGATACAAGGGTGGGTCAATAAGTTCGTAGCCTGACATGCAAATGTTTTACTGTAAATCTTTCGATCTATGTGAGTAATATTTACACTTGAATTAAGTGCATTGTCAAGGAAGGAGATTATAAAGAAAAATAGATATTTGTTATATATATATATTTTTTTTAATTTCATCATAAGCTTCGAATTTATTCATATACCTACGTAAATAGATAGATAGATAGATAGATAATGAACAGACTGAGATAGAAAAATTGATTGATAGATAGAAGAATCATTACAATTTTACCGTTTGCTTAAGTAGACAATCTATAAAACATTGTTCTGTTAATTTTGTTTATTTATAAAACCTTCCAAAATAAAAAAAATAGACTCACTTGTGTGTTATTTCGTCGTTAAATTTTAAAACGTATTACATAATGTGATAAAGGTTGTATTATCTAAACCGATCCATTTCGTTATCACGTGAGTATTATTTTAGAAAAATGAGGTAAAGTCTGTAAATTAAATAAAGCAAATCACCGGCCTTTCAGGTTTTTTTTTAATTTTATTTTAATTAATTTACGTTTTAATTAGTTTACGTAGTGAACATTTTTTTAGTTTATAATCGCCAAAGTGGATTATGTTATATTTCCGAATGTGCTAAATAAATGTAAACACCAGGAAATCCGACGTTTTAAATGAAAACCCATCACAACTTAATCCGAATAAGCCTTTCCTTTGATCAACCAAATGGACCTCCTTTTATCTAACTGAATTATAAAACTACCTTTCGATTTCTATACATGCTCATTCAAGAGATGAACAATTCGAGGTCCAATATTCAATGCAGATTTATTAACAATTGATCTTATTTTATGTCATGTTCTTTTGGGTAATAACCGATCATGACTCTCCACAACTTCCTATCTTTTGTTGCTCTAAATAACTCTTACTCTTTTAGCACTTCTCTTTGTGATCCTTGTTCGGCCATACATTTATTCAAACTCGTTACTCGCTGTTTTTCCCTGCATCTCTTACCGTCATTATGTCCTGTGAGTGTTAAATTTTCCAAGCCTTTTTTCTCATTATGCATCCCAAAACTTTTAGTTGTCTCTTTCTTTTTGTTAGCAACAGCTTCTTTGTAATCTCTATTTCCTTAAAAACATCCTATTTACTCACATGCTCTGACCATGATATTCTCGACATTCTTCGGTAGAGCCATATTTTTATCGTTCCTCTTACGGTTTATGAAAAAATTACGCAACATTCATTGCCATATAGAAGATTAGGTATTTCATAGCAGTCCCACAATCTTTTCTTTACCCCTAAGGATATTTTTCCTCCCTTATTATTAAGCTTAGTTTCTGAAAATTATCTTTCGCTATTTCTATGCGTCGTTGAATTTCTGCTCCAGTTTGTTTCGTCTGTTACTAGACGATCCACATATTCAAATTTCTCAACTTGGGTTGTCTCTTTTGCTAACAGCCATGCAATTTGTCTTCCTGTAGTTAATAGTTCACAGTAGAGGTTACGAATTACTTGAGTATCTTTTCCGAGTAAATAAAGCTTCCGTAATATTTCAAGTAGGTCTTCGTGTCGTATATTATCAAACGCCTTCGTTTAATCAATGAAACATCCCAAATATTTGTTGAGAGGAAAGAAAGTCTTCGATTTCAAAACGAGACTAATTTTTTTCTTTGTAAGATTTGAATGGTATTTGATTTATATAATTGTGTATTATTAGATTGATTCATTTTTCATTTTATTCACGGAAAGTCAGCATAAGTCCTCAACTTATTTTATTAAATTTCTTTGACCTTAGTCCATTCTTCAGATAAATTGTAAGTTGCATATTTTATTATAAGAATGATTCTGATTTTGATTCATAGAGGAGTGTTTCAATATCATAAAATTATTGAAACTACTGACTAGACAAGGATTATCACTTTCTGGGAAACGAACTCTAAACTGAAGGTGAATACGCCAGTTTCTTTATCTTTTCTTGCGTCACATTTGCAACATTAGGACTGGAGTTCCCATATAGCAAAATCACAAATTAACTTTATTGTCCAAAAAAAAAAAGGTATTTCCTATTCCAGTACTTCATAAAAATAGGTTTTGTAAGTTCCCATGTTGTTTGTATTGCACCATCCTCCAAAATTTCTACTAATTCATCAGTTTTCAAATTCTGATCGGTTCATCAGTTTTCAAATTCTGATCGTTGGTTCGTGAATTTTGGTGACATAGTAATTGTGAGTTCAATCCCTGAGCCGGGTAGCGTGTACTTGGATTCAGTGGGAACAGGACGAGCAATACTAAATATAAGAACTAGTCAAGATACCCCTAGATATGACCAGCGGATCGAGAAAATCTACTCCTGTAGATTGAATAAAGTTTTCAGGTCGGAATTCCCTGTAGGTTATCCGGATCGACATACACCTTATGAAGGCTGGGGAGGAGGCACAATGGCTGAAACGTTGTGATAACAACAACAAAGATGAGTTGCAATAGTCCGCTGGTAAATAGTGTAAATAATGATAACTCCTCATCCCAGAAATTCCGGTAAGAATTCAAGACACTTTGACTGCGTCAAACGTCAGTGATTTATTACACACTGCCCACGGCACACTTTTTGCGCAGATTAAACTCTAAAACTGCCAAATGTTATTTTATATTCAGCCTTGATTTTCGTCAAAATAAAGTAAAATTATTACGTTCCTGCAAACAAATCTTAAAGAGTATGCATGAACAAAATCTGAAAAAACTTTAAAGAAAGTTCTATTTACCTTCCAAGAGTGATAATCAATGCACTCCATTCCAGTGTCTGTGATCTTAATTGTTAGGTTACTTGAGCATCCTAGATCTGATCTTATTTTATGCGTCGCCGATCATAGCCCTCCACAACTTCCTATCCTTCTTCCTTACTATCCTTCCTAATTACTGCTCTGCCATCCATTTAAACAAGCTAATTAGGTTCCTTACTCACTGTTTTCCCCTGTCCCTCTTGCATTTAATGTCATGTGAGTGTTAAATTCTCTGTGTCTTCTTTCCTCATTGTGTGTTCTAGAAATTTCAAATGCCTCTTTCTGATTTTAAGTATAAGCGTCCTTTTTGGTACCACTTTCTTTCATCGATGCTCACATTTTCCATCCATTGTGTTCTCAGTATCCTCCTGTAGAACTTCACCTTTCTTACCGCGTCTCCTCTTTCTCTGTGAATACACTGCTATATAACAATTCAGGACTCTTTTCTATGTTTCTAACAAAATTATCCTGTTTCTTAATACTTTGCTTAGCTTTTTGAAGGCGTCTTTCGTTATTCCAATGCACCTTCGGATTTATGCGTCATATTTTCTGTCTCCTGTTATAATACTTCCCAGGTAGTTAAATTTTTATATTGGCTTGATTTTAACGTTTCCAATTCGTAGCTTATATCTTGGGCTGTCCCTTTTGCTAACGACCATTTATTCTGTTTTCTTACACTTGATGGTTAATCATTTCTTCTTGCTTTACTACTTTGTCATAGAGTTCTATCATTTACTAGTTTATTTCTATGTCTGCCATCAACACAGTGACATCTGCATATCTTATGTTGTTAAGATTATATCTATCAATAATAAAACCCTGAAAGGACTTCTAGTTTTCTTAGAATAGCCTCGTTGTATAGGAATAGAAACGAGCGCAAGACGTGGGGCGTCTTTTCACCGGGTTTATTCAACCACATCTTTATATTCATCCTTATTTTTCTCTCTTACGCCTATTTAGTTAATAATACTGACACATAATCACAAGTTCAGGGCGTCGAGTGAGGATTGAACTCACTACAATAATGATGATCATATTCTCCAATAAGAAAATCCAAAGAAGTCTCTGCAATATTATTAGCCCTGACCTATCATATCAGCTTCAATCGTTTTCCAACTGCTGTAATATAGCTTCTCTGTAATGTTTCTATAAATATTTTCACGGTAATTGTTCTCATGAGCTTATTCTTGACTTTACGAATTGAAGCTCAGTACTAGATTGGCAGTTAGATTTCATAATTTTACTGTTGAAATTGTTAGAGATCGCCATAAGTTCTATGCTAATAGTTTCTTCTCTAGTACTTTTCGCCTCTTGGAGCACTCTTCCAGCTTCTTGCTTTTCTGTCAACTCGGTCCTTCAAAAAGGTAAATGCAATGTCAATCATCATCATCTTTAAATTCTGTTCTTTTATTTTCTCCTGTGTTTCTTTCACTCATTGCATCTTAGTGGGTTTTTTTTTCAACGCTTTGCTTATGCCTAAATAATTAAAGAAAATGATTGGCTAGTCAGGCTTATTTACCATTCCTTCGAGGCGAGGAACTCCTTATCTATATAAAGGTATTTACGAAATTTATTTTCATACAAGGCTACAACTGTAGAACATTTACATAGAATTGAATCCACTCGAGTAGTAATTCTCTGCTAATGTTATCTCGTTAACGCCACTTCAGTGCGAGACATGGCTTTTAAGCATCCAGTTATGATTTAACCTGTGACAGTTGTAATGTTTTTCCAGTTAGTTTGCTAAGCACAATGAAAAGGAACCTTTTATGACTATACATGTTTAATTCGTTCGCTAAGTAAGACATAAGCCCATACTGTAGGGTAACTAACATGAATGTAACTTTACAGCTTGTTAACCACTACTCCAAGACGATGAATTTCCGGTAAGTATATACAGTTTTTGTCTGAATTTCTAGGGTAAAAATATCTACATTCGGACTATTGTCCTCATGTTTTTAAAAACCTTTCAACCGACGTGCACTTCGGCTTTCTTCAGGTGCTTACCTCAAGCGACAGTAACTGTGTGGATTAAACCGTCGCTTCGTGAATTTGGTGACAGCAATTGTGAGTTCAATCCCTGGGTCGAGTAGTGCAGACCTAGACTTAATAGAAACAGGGCGAGCATTAACTGAGAACTAAACAAGTTATCTCCCCTAGGCATGAAGCTTCGAACGAGAACAATCTATTCCCGTAGATTAAATAAAGGGTTCAGTTCGAAATTCCCTGGATGTTACCCAGATCGATAAACTCTCAGTTCATTGTATAAACTTGCGTATGTGGGTATATACAGTGGGGGGGCGGATATTCGTACACATACAAATTTTTAATTTATTGTATTTCCGACTAATGAATAAACATACTTTTCATATAATTAACTGTACACAAAAGCATAATAACTAAATATACATAAAAACAGAAAAATTGATTTAATAAAAATAAATCCCATTTATCTATTTTAATAGGCGAAAAAATTATCCGTGCAGTACAAA